CGCTCCCCCACCTCCCCCTTTCCCTAGCCGCGTGCAGGTTGTCGCAACTCTGGCGATGTTCAAGGCGGGTTGTTTGCTGCAGGACGTCAGTCAGGGGCACCCCTCTGGTACAAAGCTGGCCTCGTTGGATGGTCTTGGGGGTGTGTGGATGTTGGGCGGCGGCGCTGGCGCCGGCAGGCGTGGCGTTCGAGGGAGGAACCTCCGTCTCAGGTGCGGGCGGGCAGCCATGGCTTCCTGGGGGGCTTGGCTGCGGGTGGTTGGCAGAACGGGGGTATGTCGGAGGGGTGTGAGCGTCGGGTACATCACTTGCCCAGTCCTCGTACTGGCCGTTAGCGGCGGCATCCATGGACGTTGTATCCTTCTTGAAGGCTCCGTCGCGGTGCTCCCACTCCTTCATGTGGCTCAGGGTCAAAACTTGATCTTTGGATCGGACGGTGGCGGCTATCCTTGGTCGTACCCTTCTGGGAGGCACCGTCCTGGAATCCTTGCTACGACATTGTCTGCCCCACCCCTCGATGGCTCCAAGTTGTTTTTCTTGGCTCATCTCTAGTTTGTTTGGTTGTCATCCGAGTGGTGTGCGGGCGCCTGACACCTTTATATCTTGCCTTGGGTGTGCATGTTGTGTGCCGTGGTGGTGTGTGTTTGTACCGGTTCGCTTGGATGTATGTGGTGATGGTTGCTTTATATATAAAACAGGATAACCCTTTTTCAGTTATTGACAGATGGGTCAAGGGTATGATTGGGATGATGAAAAAAAAAGTTAGCATGTTTGAGTTGGTACGCTGTCAAAGAGGGGTCAACTTTTGATTTAGAACACAGTGCAGACGCGGGCACTTATATATGCGTGCGTACATTCACTCTTACGAACACACAAACCCTATCTCTATAAGCATGCTTCCGCCAAACATATGCTAGTAGCTAGCAAACCTTCCGCCAAATGCAATAGTAATCATTAGTAGCTTCCGGAAAAAAAAGTGAACGCATGCATTCTTAGGCTGGTTGTAATGGAGAGTATCATATACTAGTATCATGCATATGATACTAGTGTATGATACTACATCCGTAATGCAAAATATCATATGTTGGTATCATAGAGTACAATATTTATTACCATGCATGACACAAAGTAGCACATCATTTAATATTATACGGTATCATGATATATGATACTCAAGCATCTCTTTCTTTATTTAATTCTATGCCATCTTATCAAAATTGCTTAGTTGACATGCATGATACTATCTATGATACTATCATTACAGGCAGCCTTAGCTAGAAAACCTTCCGCCAATGTAGGCATGCAAATCACCTTAGTGGCTTTTGCCAAACAGGCTAGCAGCCTTCCATCAAACGCCAACGCTAATTGCCACTCACACAAAGAGGAGAGGAGTACGTGATGTCTTTTGATTAGCCAGGCAGTCGCAAACCTTTCCCATATTTACTTCTGATTTGTGGGAGTTCGGACATGCGGACACGTCTGCGGACTTGTCTGACAACACGTTGGATGACGAAAAACGATCCAAACATGCCGGTCCAGATGTTTGCAGGCGTTTTCGTGACGGTGTTCGAGATGCCCCAGCCACGGTTCTTGGGACGGTTTTCGGGACGGTGTTGGCTGGGTGGAGGGTCCGCAACCACGCAGCTTTCCCAAAACCTCGTGTCCCGGCCGTTCACATCCAAAGAAATCGTCTTTAACTTGTACGTTTCCAGAACGCTGGGCTGTCTGCCACATGAGAGAGAGAGAGAGAGATATCA